AATATCTATCATATGACTATTTTCAAACATTCGAATATAGTAATTTCTTAAATATTCTATTGGGTAAATGATTGACGTGCTGCCAAATCTACCTAAATTATAAATCTTTACATTAAAATATGGCTTTGTTACTGGATTTGAAAATTTATCCGTATAGAGTATAAATTTAAAAACTTCATCCATATAATCAGTAATGTTCGTCACTTGAAGAAAATCAGATGTATAATTTGAAATAATAACATTAACAAAAGACAAAATGGCTGTATCGATATCAGACAATTGACGCAATGGGTTATTTTCCAAATTGATGAATAGTGTTTTTTCTTGATTTCGTAATAATTCGACAGTTCTTACTATTGGTATGAGCTTTTGTAAAAATGTGATGGTTGTCAAATTGTTATTATTCAATAACAATGTGGTTAATTTATAATTATTTAAAAACACATTATTTGCTAAAGACGTTATTTTATTATATGATAAATCTATGGTTTCTAAATCTGGGTTCTTTTTAAATACGTCCGATGGTAATGTTGTAATTTGGTTTTTACCTAAATGCAAATATTTCAGATATTGTAATAAATGAAAACTGTATTTGTCGATATGTTTGATTTTATTTTTTGAAAGATCTATTGCAAATAACTTTGAATTGGTTAAATTATGCTCTTCGATTTTTATAATATCAACATTGTTTAAAACCATTTTAAAATAGTTACGAACGTTAGAAAAATTTGGTATTGTGCTTGAAGAACATACATATTTATATCGATCATTGAAAAATATCGTACATTCACAATCATGGAAATTTACCAAACATTTTGATAATATTGGTTCTGTCTTGTTATTTTCATCATTACTATTAAAATTATTATAAGTATAATCATTAGAAATGTATGATTGTTCCGTTGCATTTTTTTCGTTTGCATTGAATTCTGATTTGTTACTAGGTAAATTAACGATTGTTGTTGTGCTTGATATATATTCGATTGGTTGTTCATTTACAGAGTCATCTTTCTTTGATATAAATGATTCGAGAAAAATGTTCATTATTGATTAGCGATTTTTTGTTTTTCTCGTCATCGTTTTGTTTTTTATTACTTAAAACATTTGATGATGGCAATGGTGGTGGGTACGGTGATGTTGTTCGGATCAACGATGAACTATTTTTAGCGCTATTAAATTTGAAACGTTTTGTGATGGGTACAGTTCTTGTTAAATATGACCAAATTGGGAGAATCCTCCTGTTTGATCTTAATTTTAATTCATTGAATTCTATTTTGTATAATTTGGGGTAAATTAATGTCAAATTATTTATATCTAATAATTCATAAACACTCATAGAATAATTTTTTATCACATTTATTAAAAGTTCATCGAATAATACATTCATTTCATTGTTGTCTATATTTGTTACAAAGAATGCCAAATCATCTATACCTATGCGTTTATATGATTGTAATAATAATATGTCGGTTTTATTAAATGACAACGTTTCATGATTTGATTGATTGTTAATCGATATCCTGGTGTCAGAATTAGTTTCATCTCTTATTAATTTTGTAAATATTATCTGTATAGGTCGAATTTTATATAAAAAGTTGATATTTGTTAATTGATTGTTGGCTAATAAAATATGCCGTAATTTAAAATTTTTATGAAACGTTGATGGATCTATAAAATTTAATAAGTTATTTTCTAAATTTAAAGATTCAAGTTTCATGTTATTGGAAAATATCAAGGCTGGTAATCTTGTCAGGTGATTGTTCTTTAAGCTCAAGCTCCGAAGATTTAATACATTCATAAACAATCGTTCATTTATCATATTAACATTATTTTCTTCAAATTGAATGGCACACAAATGAAAGATCTTGTTTGCTCTGATGAAAGCATTCAATGATTTAGTCAATAAATTATGAGTTGTGTCAGAAGAGGCATTGTTCATGGTGATTTTAAAATATGCATTTGGAATTATTTCGAAATTACTAACATCATTACATTTGTATTTATAAAACTTTGCAGAATTTTCTAAATTTTTAACTGTATTACATGAACAATTATTTATCATCACGTCACATATAGGACTTATAGATATACCATCAATCGCTTCTTTTTCATCGAATATATTATCATTATCGAAATATTTCGAATCATAGAAACTAAAACCAAAATCAAGTTCTTCGGACTCCCAATTATTTATGATGACATCAAAATTGTTCAATTCATTCGCAAATGTTCCAATAATGGAATAAAACAATATACAAAGTGTAAGAACTAACATTTTTTTTTAAGTCTAAATAACACATTTTATTTTACTGTACTATTATATTCAACGTATATCTCAAATCATTGTATAATTAATTAATTTCGACAAATGCTTAAACGTTTTCATCATTCTTGAAGTTTTCTAAATGATTAATCAACCAATATTCCATTTTATCCTTTGTTAAATCATTCTTAATTATTGCATTATAAATTAAATACAGTATCTTTGTTGATAACAATGCACCGAACCCTTCTTTAGGTTCTTCTATAAAATAAGAGTGTTGTTTATGTCTTTTTTTTATCATAAACTACATAAGTCGCTAATTTTTTTATGTGTTCTGTAATAGAAGAAAATGTATCTTTTAAATTATAAATTTCCGTAAAGGTTTGTAAACTTTGATAACTTGCCGTCATGGAACCAAATTGATTGTTATTATCATGAATGAGAGATTTTAAAATTGGGTCAAATGTACTATAAGCAACTAACCAAATTTGAGCTTCTGATGGACTTAAATATGATAATGCTAACAATAAATCTCGGTACTTATCAATTTGATCAATAATATTTAGAGATGGTTGTATATTTACTACTTCTGGCTTTCTAATAAGTTCAATTAGTTTAACTTTCTTAAAAATCGATGCTCGAAGTGATTCTCTGTTCGATTTATCAGCAATACGAAAAAATTGATCAACTTCCCAATGTATACTTCCATCTTGTGCATCGATTGGTACATAAATTTTATAATTATTTTCCATTACTTCAATTAAATCTTTGGTGACCAATAACTTATTTGGGTCACATAATTGAGGAAAATTTATTATTGTTGATATTAAACAAACGCTTTTATATTGTGTCGGGATGCTAATTCGAGTAAATTGTGTTGGGGTAGTTACTCGAGACAGAGCTACATATAATGAACGATATGACGTATTTGTGGTTAAAATTAAATTAATATTGTTTGTTACAGTACGCCCTTGAGCCATATAGAGTGATAATAAAAACGCTGGATAAATTGGAAAATTTATTAAATTGCCAATTTTATTTGGACCCAATAAATATGATTTATGTTCTGGAAATGTGACATCATTGCATTTACTTCGTTCTACCGTCACTACGTTGGGCCCTATTCGTAACTTAAGTTGTGATATTTCTGTACCGTTATATAAAATTTCTTGCAAAATACCAATTTGATCTTGTCTGTATACATGAATAAAATATTGAGCTCCTATAATTAATGGTATGTATGGTATAAATTTTCCAGACCACATCTTTATTTGACCTAAATTCTGAGAATTCGCTTCCATTAATTTACACCATTCTGTGTATTCAACGCCAGATTTAGTTAAGTAAAACCCATTCAACATTAACTTTCCTGAAACTTGATCTGGATGATTATTACTTTGAATCCAATAAAATGAACAAGGCACATGATTGCCATAAGTACAAATCAAACAGTTTAACTCATAGTTGATGTCACGATGAGCAAAACTCATAATTGTGTTTTGCAATTGATTTATTTCGAGGCCAGTTAATAATTGTATTGGAAACATCGCACTAATAAGTGTAAATGCATATAAATCTAAATTCAAGTCCGTTGATAAACTTGCTAAATAATTTGTAAATTCATTATAATTTTGATCTTTGCAACGATAATTGGTTTTAAATTCAAACACATCAGACGTAAATCTAGAAACTATGTCATAAGAAGATGAAGTGATATTTTTCGAACTGCGAATATTTTGCAATTGATTTTGATCTCCACAAAACACAGTAGTAAATTTATAGAAATTTGATAATATCAAAAAACTATATAATAACGGTTTTGGTATAATTGTGTATTCATCAAATACTAATATTGCGTCTTGCAAGTGTGATAAATTTGCGTTTCGCAGAAAACTAATTATGGTAAATATAAATTCAGTTGATGATAAATTTAAATTTATTTGATCCATTATATTAATATATGAAAAATACTTTAAATTATATAAATCCATGAAGAATTTAGCACACGTTTGAGTTGTAGCACACGATTTAAAATCCATTAATGAATCATTTTTATAAATTACAACAGTAACTGGTCGTATGGAATGATGAGCCATTGTTATTAACGTTGACGTTTTGCCGCAACCGCCTCTAGATTGAACAAGAACACATTTTGGCGTAGGTTCTAGCACTTTTTGATAAAAGTCCGTTTGTTCAATGTCCAATCGATCAACTGTATATTTTTCTAAACGATTTTTGCGAACTTCCGGGTTATTTAATAAAGAATTGTTTGAATTATGACCAATAAGCTTTCGCTTTGGTATATACGTTTTCCAATCCATGATATGTGATTTAATGTTATTTAAAATTAACAATCAAAATTATGTATTTATACTTTGATGTCTTTTGAAAGAATAACTGAAATTCGATTCGAAACATACACTTTTGTATAGAATTATAGACGTAGACTTTTGTATAAAACAATGGATATAAGCACACAATTGAAGTTGAACTTATTTTGTTGAAATAAATCAAAATTTCTTTATATCAAATCGAAACATTGACTATTTAAGACATATGATTGCACTGCATTTGATACTGCAATAGTTGCATTCATCGAGTCAAATAATATATATTATAAATAGAATTGTGTAAAAATTTATATTTCTGTATATATATAACGAACATTTGAATAAATTCAACCATGTTGAGTGTAAAATTAATACTTTTAGATATCATGATGTTAATTTCCATCATAATGTCGTTTGTAATTAACAATGAGTATCCTCCTCGCGAAATAAATAAATTTAATAATTCTGAAGAAAACATTACAATATCACAGTTACCTGCATTAATAGTAATCGAACCGCGTGTACTATTTTCAAACCCCATAATTGTCAATTTGACCAATTCGTATAGTAATAATACAAATGGATCTAGATTTATATTGGATAAAGTGATATTTTACTTGAAACAAGATAACGGTTCTTATGAAAATGAAGAAATCAAACATCTTTCCATTAAATCAGAGGATAACGTTGATCAATTTGACTTCATTGAATCAGAATCGAATGTTTCTCCTCGATTTTTTTTTCTCGGATTAGCCAAAGAAATATTAAAGCAGAAACTTAAATTAATTGATAAAATTGTGTCGGTCATAATACCATCACAACCGCCGCCACACAAACCGAAACCACCACCACCAACAACAACAACTAAACGACCAACAACAACAACAACAACAACTAAACGACCAACGACAACAACAACCACAACAACAACAACCAAACCACCAACGACAACAACGACCACAACAACAACTACAACAGCTAAACCACCAACAACGACCACAACAATCAAACCATCAACAACTAAACCACCAACTACAACAACAACGACAACAACTAAACCACCAACGACAACAACAACAACAATCAAACCACCAACGACAACAACCAAACCCCCAACGACTACAACTAAACCACCAACAACTAAAACAACAACAACTGAAGAACCGACAACAACAACTACAACAACAACAACAACTGAAGAACCGACAACAACAACAACAACTGAACAACCGACAACAACAACAACAACTGAACAACCGACAACAACAATAACTGAAGAACCGACAACAACGACTGAACAACCAACAACTACAACAACCGAACAACCGACAACAACAACTATAACCACGGAACAACCAGAAACTGAACCACCGACAAATACAACAACTGAACAACCGATAATTACAACCACGGAACAACCAGAAACCGAACCACCAACAACTGAACCACCGACGACAACAACAATAACTACAACAATTAAACCAACGGTGAAACCTCCAACGACCACAACAACAAAGAAACCAACGGCGAAACCTCCAACAACAACCACAGAAGATACTCCGGAACCATTCAATTTGTCTCCTGTGGGTTAAAGCGTTTTTAATTATCATCTATCCAACTTATTGTCAAATTAAACAATGTAGACGTTATATAATGTAGACGAAAATAATCAACCCTATAAAATTTGAACAATTTACTGTATTGACATCAAACCCATTCATAATCAAAAAAAATGAATTAGATAACTCGAATTTATTGGACATTTAAATAAAAATGCACTGAAATAAACGGAAATTTTGATGATAAATAAAAAATCATATCACATTGACGAAAAATGTTGTCTTTATTAAATCATTTATTTAAATTTAAAAAAAATGTAAAATGTTACAACTAAATTATTATTTTGAATCTGAAAGTTTGAATAAAATACATCATAAACCATCTTATACATAGTATTTTTTACTTTTATTAGATTCCAGTATCATCATTTCTATTTGAAAATATAATTATTAATAAATTTACAATAGATTTATTCAATTAATCTATCAACTTCATCATAGCCATCACAATTATTGCGATCATTTATTGTAACACTGGACAAAATGTAAGTAAGTGAACTACTGTTTCCAATTGGCACATTCCTAGAATCACCACCATGCCCAAATAATGGACAACGTGGTGAATAATAATAATGGTCTGAAACTGGGTCATCGTTTGTTTTCCAATCATATAATTTAATTTTACAAAACGCATAATGAACTATATCGCGCTCACCACTATAATAAAGTCCAACAATTGCCAAACGTTTTATGTCAACGGTCTTCTTTTGATTTTTCCATTCATCAGTTTCAAATGTTTTCAATCTCTCAATTTCTCGCATCATTTTTGCTTCAAAATAACATGATGTACATGCAGCAAACCATTTCGAAAAATGTGTACCAATTTCATTCGTAAACATTTTATCAACGCATGAAGAATCAATCATGGTTTGAAAAAAACAATGAACGTAATGCTCCGAATTTCGTAATTCGATAATTTGAGCTAACGATTTGTTATTGCAACAAAAATGTTTCAATAAACTTAAAAATTGTTCTTGGTATACTTTCATTTCATTTATCAAAGTTTTAATATAATTTCGTTTTGCATAAATTGCAAATAATGTCGATTCATCAAATGTATACTGTGAGTTACCGATATTCACTCTAAATTCACGTAAATGTGTTGGTGTAAAAACAATTTTATTCGGCATGGACTCGATCGGAGCGTATAAATCATTATATTGTGAATTAAATAGTTTCTCCAATGCTGGCAACAATCCTATCAAGTGATAACCCATGATATGAGACGAATTCGTAGATTTGGTCTTTATTTTTATAACAATTTCAAAAAATCGTGGAAGATCATATCCAATACTTAATATTGTTTCACATGGATCACTCAAATAGACAGTATTCACTTTAAAAAGGCGTGTCGTGTAAATTGATTTGCTGTAAGTATAATTACTACACTTTTCTCTGAATCGTTTAAGATTTATGTTTTCAGCGTTAGCGGTTTTATTTTTGCACAAATCATCACAATACATAGTGAATGGTTTATTTTATTTCCTTTTTTTTTTAATAGAAAAAACTATAAGTATAATGGAACAATACGCAAATCAATGTTATTCGATTTAAGGTGTTCGGAAGAATGTGATACCTTCTTTAGGTTGAGTTCTTATATATATACTCAGCGTATTGTTCAAATTCATTAGAAATACATCAATTTGAATTTATCCACACAATCCTGAATATTTTATAATCAAAATTCAACTAAACGTCTTTATATATATAGTTACTAGAAGGTTTCAATTGATCAGTTTGTGTCGAAATTAGCTTATAGTTTCAGCTTTGGTTTAGTTATCGAATTGAATTTAAATCATAATGAATTTATTAATATGGCGGCATCTAATCCAATTGAATAAATTTATTTTCAATTTATTTCAACTTTTATTGCAAAAAGTTGAGATGTTGATAAATTTAATAATACCACAAAAAAAAAAAAAAATACGGGCTAAAGATTTTAAATTCAATTACGCTATATCTAATAATAACCGTCTTAAATTCTATATAAACGATTCAACATCATCAAATTTTTCAACATCATTAGAAGATAACATAAATTTATATTCATTTATAAAGAAATTAAATAAAGTGACACCATTGGTTCGAGCTGAATTCAAAGAAACTAATAATGAAAACGATATAATTCGACTATATGCAGAATTACCGTTAAATAAACGTAAACGCTCTGATGTTAAATCGTTAGCTCATTTACTTGATGGATATAATTTTGTTATTCTTCCCATTAATAAAGATATATTTAATAATCATATGTATATCGTTGGATTTGAAATAATTGGGACTATAGGTGAAAAAATAATTAACTTAACGTTCATCGCAACACCTGAAGATTGGACATCATCCTTACAACATATAGCCCGACATTTAGGCATTGGTAAAGTTGTACGGCTTATCACATGGAACGATGAACTAGGAATAAGTCCATTCGTTTGTGAATATAATTGCAATTCGTTAATCATTAAGATTAAATACATTCCGTCTTCATTAACAAACATTCTATAAGAGTTTTATGTGTAAAAATATCTTCAATTTATTGTAAAATTAAACAAGAATTATAATGAAGTCTAATTTTAAAATTGTGCCAGAGGTAAAAATATAAATCAATTAAATTATTATATAACAATTTACTCATTAATGTATAAACATTTAACTTAATTTAGGAATTAGAAATGTTTCCAACAACGAGGATGAAAATGATTTCCTAATGGCATGCGAATTTTTAAACATAGACCCACATGATGTTTCAATCGATGATTTTCGCAAATATAAAGATTTTTGAATCAACATCAATTTAAATCAATTAATAAATAATAAAATTGTTAAAAATATTTTCAATAAATAGTATTAAAAATTCATAGCAACCACACGATTCAAATATGGGTAATTTAATATTGTTTTGAGTTCAGAATTAAGAAATCCGTCCTTACTAAACACAAGCATTAACATAGCTATGAAAAATATCAATATGGATAAAAAGAAGAACATTTTCAAATTTAAGAAGGTTGATGAATTAAAATTAAACGTATTGTTTGATAAAATAACAGACGAACAATGCCGTAATGTGATATCGCGTAAATTACGATCACCAGATAAGAAGCGTAAAATCACAAAGGTTGTAAATTGTTCACAACGTGTATTGAATATAATTAAAATGCTAGACCTAAACGATGTACCCAACTCGGACGAACGAGTACTATTATTCATTCAATATTGTAAATTACAAAACTATTCATATAACACTACGAAAAAATACTTTGGTCAAGCTAAACAAAAAAATATATTTGGAGATTCCACACTTAGCCCAAATCCTACAAAATTCAATTATAATGTATACAGTCGAATGATAACAAAGGAGGCATTTATAAAGTTTTATCATTATTTACAAACAAATCTCAGTAAATATACTGCGCCAATCATGTTGACTGTTCTCACCGGTTTACGAACTTTTGAAATATTACAATTTGATTTACAAACCATACATTTATTGAAACAAAGATCCCCAATTATACCAACGATCATTCGAAAACAAACTATACATTCCATAAATCCGACAGAAGATTTAAAAAATTATTGGAAACCTATTTATACACCACATTTCAATTTATTCATCGAATCTTTGATTACGTTGTATCAAGTAGACTATGATCATTATTTAAAACATAAAATCAATATAAAATTATTTTTTATTAAGAGACAAGCGTTGATTTCAAGAGTTTCAACATTATTTAGTCAATCGACTGGTTATCAGCTTCCATTTGGATTCGGCATTCATGGATTTCGATCTATGTTAGCTACATTTATGTCAGATGTTACGGATAATATAGCTTCAATTCAAGCAATGTTGCAACACAAGTCTCCAAAAACTACAGAATTCTACATAAAGAGCCAATGGAAAGAAATAGAACATGGGTTTGATAAATTCACAAAAATAGAGTATTCTGAAATTATTGAAAATTTGAATAATAAACTCAAACGCTAATAATTATTTAAATATTTATTATTGATACCATCGCACAATTCACGAATCTTTCGATTTGGTTTATATTGATTTAAAAGCAATTTCAATTCTTCAAATATCTTTAATGTAATTGTGGAAAACATTTGATCCGATGTATAATTGAATAATTCCAATTTAAATTTATGTTTTTCTACTAACGTGT